GCCCCCGGATAACGACCCCTGGATAAGGGACCCCTTTTCTGGGACCCCCCCAGGCCCTGCTGCCCCCCGGTGCCCAACTGCAGCCGGGAGAAGAGGCCCGGCCTCGTGCAACGTTGCCCCGTTTCCATCCTTGCACCCTCTCTCCATGTGGATATCTTCCATACCTTGGGGAAGAGCTCAGTCAATCGGTGGGCTAATTACAYGSCRTGAGTAATTAATTGCTCCGTGTAGGAATGYAGAAATGACAGGGCCATTAGAGAAGCCCTCGGGAGATCTCTATCAGAGGAGATGACAGATTAACCCATCTCGCTAGGGCTTCAATTAATGGTTTCCAAAGACTTCTCCTAACATGGGAAGAGCAGGCGCCRGGTTGCAGCCAAATACCGGGCGTTTTATGGTGCTGACAGGTGTTTGGAGGAAGAATTTCCTTAAGTGAGCTCTATCTAGGGACTTGCAGGGCCAGGGCCACCCATGGGTCTTCCTCTGCCTTGGCACATGCACTGGGGACACCGAAACGGAAGGCCTGAAGGGGTTATGGGGTTGTGCTCACCTGGAAAAGTCGTAATTCCCATGGGTCTGAGGAAGCTTTTTGGACAGCTGTGGGCTGGTTGGGACGCRGGACTGCCTGGGCAACCCCACAGCTCCCCATTCACCAGAGGAACATCCCAGGAAAAGGCCGGGCACGACCCGACACCCCGGATGGTCATCCCCACCGAGGGCTTGAGGCTCAAGGTCCCAAGCAGGAGCTGCTCCATGAGGGCCAAATGCAGCGGCTCAGCCCCCGTGCATGCTGCTCTCGTCACGGTCTGCATGGCTCRCTGCACCTCCGTCTTGCACCTGCACGCCTGCTAATTAAAAAGATCACCAGTCTTCTGCTCATTAACTTTGCTCATTAAGTCTGCTGGTCATCCTAATTGGTTCGCCGTGGTGACGTCCCTTGCATCTCGCACAAAACCAAGCTGTGGGGTGCGATGTTTTCTCATTAAACCTGATAGTCGGGAGGATAAGAGCGGGCTGGGCGGCACCTGCAAGGCAAAAACTGTGCTGGTTAGCGGAGAGCAAAGTCAGTATCRTGATAAGATCGTGATAAAGCCCAATAAAGCTCCCGAGCGCAGGCCCAGGCGGGAAGTGGTGGCATGGAAAAGCAATCAAGAGGCTTGATGTTGGAGCCAACACCAAGGTGGAATCTTCTCCCTTCCTCCTGCTGATCGCTTCCAACCGCGATGGGGAGGAACACGCTATAATTTGGCTAATGGGCATGAGTGCGTTATGCAACCCGGTGCTGACTGGCACAGAAGACCTTGCCTCAGCAAGGACACGGGGTCCTCYGAGCACCTCAACTCCAGCTCCCTTGAGCGCAGTGTCCCACCTTCTCCAGGATGGAGGGTCCTTCTCTTCCCATCTGACTCTCCCATGTCACTCAGCACCAGTGGCCAAGCCAAAAGTGCCAGCAGAGCCACGTTGTCCAGCTCCTTGCCCTGCTCCAGACGTCTCCTCRCTTGATTCCATGTGGGTCCACTCTGTTTCTCAGCAGCAGGATGAACTGCACAATGTCCATCCCTTCTGCCCAAACACACCGTTTTCCACCTCAAATGGCAAGGGGAGGACGAGAGTTGAAGGAAAGGTACAAGTTGGTGACCTTTTACAGGAGCATTTTAAAAATCTTTGCAAACTTCTCCAGATTGTGACTGAGAAAGCACCAGCTTGAAGCTCCGAACACCCACAGGAGCTTGAAGAACTCTGGATTTTCAGTCTGTCTGGGCTTGGTTGTAAGGACGACGTTTTCCAGCAAATCTGACATTCAGGGAACCRGCCCCAATGGGCACCTTTAATTCCTGCCTGAACTTTAGTAGCACCAAGCAGCCCATTAAGGAGACCAGCAGAATCGTCGCATTCCTACACGGAGCAATTAATTACTCACGCCGTGTAATTAGCCCACCGATTGACTGAGCTCTTCCCCAAGRTATGGAAGATATCCACATGGAGAGAGGGTGCAAGGATGGAAACGGGGCAACGTTGCACGAGGCCGGGCCTCTTCTCCCGGCTGCAGTTGGGCACCGGGGGGCAGCAGGGCCTGGGGGGG